TAAATCAGATCGTAAACGTAAACAGATCTAGAATATTCCAAAGTGTGTCAAAAGCACCACAAAATGATTTACCTCGAAGGTTATACTTTCAAAGTCCGTTAGAGGTGATACTGTTACTGCGCATGTCATCCATTGACAGTGTCCCTTTAATGCTGACCAATCTTTTTTATAAACTTTGTCCGTGTGAAGTCATGAGTTTAACCACGAAATTAAACTTTGTCGTAAGGCCCATTAAGTCATTGCAATAACCATGAAATGATGAATTCACTGTAAATGATGAATTCACTACTGATATTTATCAGATATAAGTTTTATCAGAAAACCATAATAAGGCTAAACATAATAATTACAAAAATCAATTCTACCTTACAAGTAATTAGTCTAATTACCAATTCAACCTGACTAAGAACTCAATTAAGCCTTCAATGGAGGTATCAACACAGTCTTATTCAATGTGAACAGTAACCTAAAACAATTGTTTTTCAATTCTATTCAAAGCAAGCTAACAAATGCAACACACAAAAAGTTGATCAGTTCTTATCAAGTACAAGAAAGGGTATTTAAGTAAGCACAGAAAAGCTCAGTTTCAATCCTACAGGATATTTAAAAAAAAATACTTGTTTCACCAAAATTTGCAACTTTGTACRTGATTTCAGGTATATTTCTAAGTTTATCAAATCAAATTAATTTTATCAAATTTATCAAATTAAGATTACTGACAATTTGGATAATAAGACGATTTAAAGAAGAAAATGACTGATGTAATAAGCTTAATGTGGTATATTCAATCATACATATATCCAAGATGATTTGTGGAATATGAATAATTCACCTGTTTGCCACCAATTGTCATACACTGGTGCACTGACAGCACGTCGTGCCCAATTCATTGTATCCTTATCCAAATGTTCACCTGCTAGAAACATGTCACGAAAACTGCCAAACAAAACAAAACTTAATAATGTAACATTGCACATTTTGTTAAATATGCACATCTTTTTCTACCTTCCTTTCCTACCTGACATTCATTTCCTGACAGCTTGCAAATAAATGTGTTGAGTTACTTATTAGGAATTACTGAACATGAAGATAGCAAATGTATTATTAATTAACATTTTAAAGTAATCCTTGGTACACAGACTATCTAGATATTACCTAAAGAGGCAACTGACTTAAGACAGCACAAACTAAGTACCATTTCCAAGACACAAACACAAAATCAAGACAATCAAGACAACAATATCAACAACAATGAAAAACAAACAAATGAACTAAAAGAAACACAAAAACAGCCAAAAATTATTTCAATGAAGCGAGTACTGGAACAGACAATCTAGTCTCACTAGAGGGCTTGAAGACAATTGGTTCAATGCTATTTGAGGCATCTTGAAAGGGAATGTTAAACTTCATGATACAGAGATGGCATGACAATGTACAGAGATGGCATGACAATAGGATGACAAAGATGCCAATCTAGTATAATTACATTTTGTTCCTTGTACCATGCCCCAGCTGTAGTAAAAAAGGCCAAAGATCGTATAGGAACTGGTGTGAAATTAARCATTATCATAGAAAACTTTTGGCGTTTTGCCTGCTTAAATAAATTCACAAATTCATTATGTTGACTAAAAAAAACCATTTTTGATAACTAATGTTTAAAATATGACATTGATAATGAAATATAATGATATGAAAACAAGAAATATACATACTGTGAAAGGTCATACTGTTTTACAAGATCAGCTTTTGGATCCTATAAAATACAATACAATGTTATATTATATGATCATGTATATTGGAGCCTGGATGCAAGTATGAATGGCTGTTTCTAGTGGCAAAAGTCATGGAAAAGGACAATTTTTTAATATTCAAACAAAATTTTAGAAGTCCAGTTCGTGGAAAATGTAGAATAATTATTTTAACTTTTTGAAAATTTTATGTTCATTGCTATCTTCAAATGACTTTTTAACAAGCAATCAAAAATGGTCATATAATAAAATCTAATTAACTGAGCTTGCTTGCTCTAGATAGAAAAATCCAGACCTTGGTCAGTCATACAGACCTACTTCCAGACCGTGGTCTAGATTTTTCTATCTAGACTGCGCCCTCAGTTTAAAAGACCTAAATACAATACACTACAAGATTATTCATGCGCAGTGAATGAATGATTTAATGAAAGCACTTTAGGAAGTTATAATAGACAAACAATGGTAATCAATGAATGGACCAATGAGAAAATGGYTGAGTACATGAGAAATGGTGCATTGCTGCCGGGACATACTGAAGATAATTCTGGATGCAACACAGGCTATATACATTACTACACCTCAGTACGTATTATCCTTATTGCTGTGGGTGCTGTGAACATGCTCACAACCTTATGTTGTTCAATGACCCTAAAAAAAGCTCCAGCATCTGGTGTGCCAACTGGCTTACCCTAAAATAATGAAAAAATTAGTTATTTAATGATTAACTAGCAACTTCACTCACATTATTTATCAGAAAATCTGAAAGAGATGCATTTTAAAATGAAAACRGTTCATGATTGCAGGGGATAGGGGTAAACTGGACCCCCAAAAAAATAAAATTTGAACCATAATTATGATAGCAAATGAACCAAATTTTTTACAGAATTGAATGAGTTGGCCATATATTAGACTCATATTTGTCCTTATTCAAACAACAAGTAGTTATAAGAATCGAGGCAGAGGGCCAATGTATTCCAAAATGGCAAGGAAAGTTTAAATTTGCAATAGATTCATGATATTGTATGCTCTGGTCCAGTGACCACAAATGTATTGAGCTTAAGAAAAGATCTGTTTTGACTTGACAGCTATATTCTATATGAGGAAGGAAAGTCATTAAATGACAAATTTAGACTTGTGYCAGTGAGAATGCAGCCTGGTAACAAGTAATATTCCAATAGTTCAAATTAACAAACAAATATATTCACAGTACTCACGTTACCTCAAAGAGAACAGATGTACACCCTCCTAATAGTGGAGCATAAACTATATAGGAATGACCAACTACCCAACCAAGATCGGAAGCTGCCCACCATACCTGAAATGTGAATATATATATTGTTTTGCAATCTTAGTGAGATAAGAGCAAAAATCACATTAAAAATACCCATTATCGAACAAAAAATGGATATCATAATATTAATAATAGTGCTTGCCATATAATCCTGCATGCTGATTGGTCTAAACCATTTCAACCATTTCAATGAAATTATGTACTACTCTCCAGAAAAAAAATTGAGGAAAATATTGTATAAAACAAATTAATTCCATTTTTGTGTGTCTTCTAATACATGTAGATACACTACCAAAGACCTGTGATGATAGAACAACAGTCATACCACTTGACTTTGTGTCACTGATGGATCATCTACTAAATTTGTTAAGTAACAAACCTCTCCAGGATTGACACCATAAATATTTTTCATAGACCAGTTAAGTGCGACAGCATGTCCCCCATTCAAGCGAACAATGCCCTGTCAGCATAATCAAAAAGGGTTATAAATTTATATTGCTCATACACAATAATATATATAAGGATGAAATTGAATTGCRGACCTTAGGGTCTCCTGTAGTTCCAGATGTGTATAAGATGTAAAGTGGGTCAGCTGATTTCAATGGGACACAGTCATGTGGTTTGGCATTTTGCATTATTTCATCCCAGGTCACATCTTGGCCAGGAATAATTTGTCCAGAACACTGAAACGTAATTACCGTAAGATAATTGTGAAACCATCAATTGGTGCATTTGAAATATTTAGAACTAATTTTCTGACCTGATCTCTTTGATGAAGAATGACAGTAGATGGCTTGTAATTGGACATTTTAATAGCTTCATCCAAAATAGGTTTATAATAAACAAGTCTAGATGGCTCAATACCACAGGATGATGTTACAACAACTCTAGGCTATAAAGAATAATCAGGCAGATTGATTGTATAACTTTCTCGGTCAATTTTATMGTTGATATTTTTTAAAAACTGTGAGCACCTAAAATTATGTATTGGAATCTATGTAGCAATGTAGACAATGTCATTTAAGCTGTGTCAATGCCAACAAACTTCACCAGCAACCATAAGAAGATTAGTCTTTCTTTAAATTGTCATCTTATTGCTTAAACAATGTTCTAATTCTTGTCTTATTTTCACCAAAGAATTGAAGTCACAAAATACTTTTAACATTCCAGACATATTTTAGGTGCTCATGTGAAATGATTGTAACAAGGGTATTATAGGACTTCATTTCTAATCATAACTGCAAACAAAATAAAACAATAATTTTGTGGGGGAGCTAGAGTGAATATGATCAATCTATCCTCTCAARAGCAAATCCCCAAAACTCATATATTGAAGCTCAACAGTTTAACACATGATATACTTATGCTCAATTTACCTCAGCATGCTCAATTCTTCTTGCGAGTTCAGCTGCAGCAAATCCTCCAAATACTACTGAATGAATAGCACCAATTCTGGCACATGCTAACATAGCAATGACTGCCTGAATGTAAAATAATATCATAGAAATAGAAATTACGTGATATATCACAATGAATATATTAATATGAAACAATTAAGATCTCTCAGCCTCATTTAGGCAAGGTACATGCTAATTGTCAAACAATAATTAAAACTAAAATTTTATTTCCAATTATCACAAAACAGGACTGTTCGTTTGATCTGCATTTATTTTCTCTACTATGATCTTTCATCAATGGGACCTCTATTAGAGTAGCCATGAGATTGCAGCAAAAATGTTAAACCATCAAGATATGTTTAGTACTAATAATATGTATTGATGGAAAGATCAAATACCTGTGGCACCATTGGCATATAAATGACTACTCGGTCACCTTTACAAACRTTTAAACTCGACAATGCACCTGCAAATTTGGATACCTGAAATAAAAGCAATTATTTTTACAAGGAAATGTTACACATTTCAAAAAAGAAAAAAAAAACACAAAAAACAAATGCAATGTTGTTCYTTTTTCACAAAACACTACATGGTTTGAATTAAGCATTTTTTAGTCTCAAGGTTGCAAAAATTTTAGTCGTGATAATTATGTTGAATAGATTGAAGACCAGCTCTAAGAATGATGTGACCTTCATCTTGAGCTTTTTTTTGTTAAAAAATACTCTACGTCTAAACACCCCTACTGCTTACAAACAATGTTCTTATTTACCTGTCTTTGCAAATTCTGATAGGAATACATCTCAATTTTTCCTGTCACAGGGCTATCATAGATAAGTGCTATTTGAGATCCATTTCCATTTTCAATATGTCTGTCAAGACAGTTGTAACATGTGTTGAGCTCTCCACCTGGAAACCTGATTGATATATCCAACATTTAATTACTTTAGGGATTAAAATTGTTATATGTGGTAACAATAAAAAGAACTTTAGAATTGATGAAATAGAGTGATCGCACTTAATCTGTGCAACTGTACAAACTAAATAGTCTATTTAGTTGTATTTAGTAAATCGTGCATGTGGTACGCAAAATTGAATTGAATTGATTCCAATRAAGCAATTCAATACYGTCTTGCTTCAGGCCCGGAGGGGTAATCGACCCATTTTGGATAGGTACATGCCGCCAGTGGTCTAAAACCCTAACCCTGTTTAAGACACTAGAAAGTAAACCGCAACCAAATCAGAAAAACAAAACTGCAATTACACTGACATCCATCAAAGACAATAAGAAGTTTTTTTTTGATAACATGTTAATCCTGTTACAGTGAAATGGTATTTCTACTATTTCTACGGTATTTCTTATGAAAATATTACCCTGTCCAAGACACACACAAAAAATATATCGGTCTTTTATCTAAATTGTAGAGCCTGTTTAAGACAATTTCGGGTGAAATGTATACCCGCAAGGCAAAAAACCATACCCAGGCGTGCCCCCCGGGGCTTCTGGTACAAATTAATACTACTCTTAATCTTCTTAATCACTCTAGGGAATGATATCATTGAAAAGATCCTAAAGAGTTTTGCAATTGTTCACATTGAGTGTCCTTAGGCTAAGCTATATTACAAAAGTGAGGGATTGGCATTGTAGTTGTGCTTGCTTTGGTAATTTATCGCGTCCCTACCACTAAAAAGATGAGATTTGAGGCAAAGGACATCCATTCGACCTCAGGCCCCAAAAAGCTTAAGCTTAATATAAGCTTAATGCAAGTAACCAGCTTACCATTTAGTGAATGGCGGGTTGGAATGATCTATGACTTTTGTATACGACTTATACCAATCAATCCCTTCAGCTACTTCACTCCAGAATGAATCTTTATTGTGCATAGATTTTTGGAACGCTTCTTCATAACTATACTGTCGCATCGACGACAAACAGCAGGCTTGCAAATATGTAAGCTTACACCTTGGTTTTTGTCTTGAAWAACTTCCTTTCAAAAGTGGTTCTTTTAGCAGGCAAGACAATCGCACCCTACACTTGAAAGCAATACAACGATACATTTTGTTGTACGCKTTTTTTTTATATTTGTACACAATTCTTGTAATTAGTTCAACGAAAACTGAACTACTGAACTGTCAACAAGTCTCAAGTCTCTTCTCGCTTCGCAGGGGACTCTGGGAAAAGCTRCTGCAAACTTTACTGCTGTGCAACCGACCAAAGACCCTGGAGCTGGAGACGAAGTTGATTTTCCCGCGAATTTCTCTCGCGCGAGTACCGCTCATCGGTAACGTTGTTCACAACAGGAACGACAGTCAACAGGAACACTTTATTGGTTTTCCGTCAAGAACAWGTATTCTTGAATTGCAATTTTGGGACGTTATTCGCTCGAAAACTAAATACGCTTAGCTTATTAGCGAAGTTAAGGTAAGGAGTGTAAAAAAGTGCAATTGGTTCTGATTAATTCGTTATTTCAAGCTCTAATTTTTATTKGACCTTGAAGCTAAAAGACAATTTTTGAGTTCTTGTAAAAAGTGTTACTTAAGCTTGTAAAGGAGGATAGATTCAAACCTAGTTTCTGTGCACAACCTATGGCCCCAAGGGCTAAATCAGTTGAAGTATGATAGGGAACTTTTCCAAACAAATTGCAAGCTGGGTTTTGACAAAGAGCAATGTCCTTGGTCCTCAAGGCTGACGGTTTTTCTTTTTTACAGAAACGGCCGCGAATGATAATTTCTATCTGCGAACAGTTACACGCAATTGCGTACTTTAGTTTTGCTTATTGTATTGGCTATGCTGTAATCTTCTCAAGAGATATATATTTGACTTAGAGTCACAACTCTTCATGAAGAGAAAAACTCTTTGACGCAAAAACATGAATKTGAATTTTTACACAATTTTGCAACCACCTTGCAAACATTACAGCGAAATAACACTGTACCGCCGCATAGAGAGCTCCCGGGTTAAAAATACTGCATTTTCTGCAATCTCTTGGGGGTGTCGGAAAASATGAAAAAGACCGCATCGATATTGATTTTTCTCTGCGTTTTTATCATTGGAACTGATTTAATTTAAGACAATATTTCTTGTGCAATCTCTTAGGGATTAAAAATCAGTCAGCCACGCCCTTTTCTAAAGACTTCCGGGATCTTTTAGGGGTCKTTTTGAAAATCTGACGGATACCTGTAATTATCTAGCGGGCMAGSTTGTACAGRCTGAGAARGAGGCYAGTTGGGAATAACTCTCCGACATTTCTCTCCCTATTAGCTTTCAATCAGCAGCCTCCATCAGGAGCTCGAGGAAAAAGACAAAGTAATCATAAATTTAAAAAAAATCATTAAAAAAGAATTTAAAGAAGAAGAAGACTAAAAAGTGGTGCTGGTGTAGATGACCCGTAGATTAGTCAAGTCTTTTTTTTGTTTTTTAGAATCATTATTTAATATTCCTGACTGAGTCCAAACATCACAAAAGCTCGCCAAACAATCCACCAAAATATAGTTGCCTTTTTGTGTTGTCTTTATGTCCTTGCTCAACTCTGCTCTTTTTCGTGCTCTGTTGTCTTTAATAAAATAATGCCTTCATTTTATTTATTAAACAAAGTCATAAGATATTCACGAGATAAGTTGAAACGGGTGT